CGGTCGTGACTATATATGTTGATAATAATAATAATAATATAATAATAATAATTATTATTATTATCATTGGATATTTATAATGATCATAATGATGATGCGCGCGCATCCGTGACATGAGGAATTGAGGACAGCGATGAGGAAAGACGGTCGTGACTATATATATTAACTAGACGAATGACCCTGGCAACGCCAGTGTTTTACCCGATTGAATGTTTTTATTCCAATACTATTTGTTACAATTATAAATTGCAGCCGTGGATGTCACTCTTGTGAAACGTCCCGCTCCAAACTTTACATGTACATTAGGTCATCTGGTATTACCCCTCATTTTCACTGCTAGGGGCGCGAGCGAATTGACTTTTTGTAAATATACATAATTATAAAGATAGAAACTTCTATAGAAGATAATTATCATAATGATGATGCGCGCGCAGCCGTGACAGCGATGAAGAATTGAGGAAAGACGGTCGTGACTATATATTAATAATAAAATAATAATAATAATTTAATATTAATAATTATTATTATTATCATTAGATAATGATAATGATCATAATGATGATGCGCGCGCATCCGTGACATGAGGAATTGAGGAATTGATTGTTGACGGTGGAAAGACGGTCGTGACTATATATGTTGACTAGACGAATGACCCGGGCAACTTCGTGTTTTACCCGATTGAATGTTTTTATTCAAATACTATTTGTTACAATTATAAATTGGAGCCGTGGAAGTCACTCTTGTGAAACGTCCCGCTCCAAACTTTACATGTACATTAGGTCAGCTGGTATTACCACTCATTTTCACCGCTAGAGGCGCGAGCTAATTGACTTTTTGTAAATATACATAATTATAAAGATAGAAGCTTCTATAGAAGATAATGATCATAATGATGATGCGCGCGCATCCGTGACAGCGATGAGGAATTGAGGAAAGACGGTCGTGACTATATATTAATGACGAATGACCCGGGCAACGCCCGAGTTTTACCCGATTAAATGTTTTTATTCAAATACTATTTGTTACAATTATAAATTGCAACCGTGGATGTCACACTTGTGAAACGTCCCGCTGCAAACTTTGTGTCTGAGAAGCGATATTTTTATAGAAAGATGATCTGGCTTTTGTTTTCTGCTCGAATGAATGTTTTTCTGTTAGAATTTTGTTCCTGCGTACAAAATAATGAACTGGTTTCACCCGTGGTCTCTGCTTTTTGGAATTTTTCCCGATATAATTTTGTATCTGATAATCAAACATGACACAGCAATATCGTCATCATCATTTTCTGACTAAAAATATATAGTTTTAATAATTGATTTATATATATTTTTAAATAGCCTATCGTCTTCCCCGTATTTTTTACCTATGTATGGAAATTTTGGTTTGAATTAGTGAACTACTGCGAATTTGTATACCGGACATACAAACAAACAGACAAACATTCATTTATATATATATAGAGATTTACTCTTCATTGTTGGCTTTTTATATTATATTTACTTTTCATTGTTGGCTTTTTATCTTACATTCACTCTGTTGGCTTTTTATATTACATTTACTCTTCATTGTTGGCTTTTTATCTTACATTCACTCTTCATTGTTGGCTTTTTATATTATATTTACTCTACATTGTTGGCTTTTTATCTTACATTCATTCTTCAAGGTTGGCTTTTTATATTACATTCACTCTTCATTGTTGGGTTTTTATCTTACATTCACTCTGTTGGCTTTTTATATTACATTTACTCTTCATTGTTGGCTTTTTATCTTACATTCACTCTTCATTGTTGGCTTTTTATATTATATTTACTCTTCATTGTTGGCTTTTTATCTTACATTCATTCTTCATTGTTGGTTTTTTATATTACATTTACTCTTCATTGTTGGCTTTTTATCTTACATTCACTCTTCATTGTTGGCTTTATATCTTACATTCATTCTTCATTGTTGGCTTTTTATATTACATTCACTCTTCATTGTTGGCTTTTTATCTTACATTCATTCTTCATTGTTGGCTTTATATATCACATTTACTCTTCATTGTTGGCTTTTTATCTTACATTCACTCTTCATTGTTGGCTTTTTATATTATATTTACTCTTCATTGTTGGCTTTTTATCTTACATTTATTCTTCATTGTTGGCTTTTTATATTACATTTACTCTTCATTGTTGGCTTTTTATCTTACATTTATTCTTCATTGTTGGCTTTTTATATTATATTCACTCTTCATTGTTGGCTTTTTATCTTACATTCATTCTTCATTGTTGGCTTTTTATATTATATTTACTCTTCATTGTTGGCTTTTTATCTTACATTTATTCTTCATTGTTGGCTTTTTATATTATATTTACTCTTCATTGTTGGCTTTTTATCTTACATTTATTCTTCATTGTTGGCTTTTTATATTATATTTACTCTTCATTGTTGGCTTTTTATCTTACATTCATTCTTCATTGTTGGCTATTTATATTACATTTACTCTTTATTGTTGGCTTTTTATCTTACATTCATTCTTCATTGTTGGCTTTTTATATCATATTTACTCTTCATTGTTGGCTTTTTATCTTACATTCATTCTTCATTTTTGGCTTTTTATATTATACTAATGATGATGCGCGCGCATCCGTGACATGAGGAATTGAGGAATGAGGAATTGACGGTGGAAAGACGGTCGTGACTATATATGTTGATAATAATAATAATAATTTAATAATAATAATAATTATTATTATCATTAGATAATGATAATGATCATAATGATGATGCGCGCGCATCCGTGACATGAGGAATTGAGGACAGCGATGAGGAAAGACGGTCGTGACTATATTACAAGGTATGTCCCATAAGTTCCCGGACTGGGTCCATAAAAAAATAAATAAATGAAAAATGTAAATGAATTTGACTGTTTATTATAGAAAAAATATCTGGCTACACGGTGGTACCAATATCGAGGCGGTACTTGCGCGCGCGCCAAGGTTATTCTAATTTATTTAAAGGTCACACCTAGCGCTGCGGCGATTTTACGATGGAACAAAAATTGAAGCAGAGGATTTGCATAGAATTTTGTGTGAAACTTCAAATATTAGCAACCGAAACTTTTGAAATGCTTAATAAAGCATTCCCCAATGACGCCCCAAAGAGAACAACTGTTTTTGAATGGCATTCTAGATTTAAAGCTGGCAGAATTTCCATTGTAGATGATCCTCGTCAAGGACGCCCAAAATTTCAAAGGACTGATGAAAATGTTCAAAAAATCACCAATTTGATAAAAGAAAATCCTCGAACCACTTTGCTGGAGCTAGAGCAAGACACAGGCATCTCTAAAACAACGATTGGAAGGATCGTAACCGAAGATTTGAAGCTCAAAAAGACTCCTGCAAAATTCATCCCAAGATTCCTCACCAATGAGCAAAAACTGTGTCGGCTTGCAACCTGTGAGGACATGATGGAAATGACAAGAACGGATCCAGAATGGAAAGACAAGATAATCACAGGCGACGAGACATGGGTCTATGGCTATGACCCTGAAAGCAAACCTCAATCTGCCGAAGGAAGAGGTTAGGGTGAGCCTAGACCAAAAAAAAAATCCAGAAACAAGGTGTTGCTGGTCGCTTTTTCGGATAACAAGGGCATTGTTCATCACGAGTATCTTCCTGCAGGCCAAACAGTTATTAAGGAAATGTATTTGGGCATTCTTCGCCGTCTAAGGGAAGCGATTAGAAAAAAAAAAGGCCAGAAAAATGGACTAATGGTGGCTGGATCCTACACCATGACAATGCTCGCCCTCACACAGGGCACTTGATGACTAGCTTTTTGGCGAAAAACGGGACACAAATCCTACTTCAACCACCCTATTTCCCAGACATCGCACCAAATTACTTTTTCCTGTTCCCCAAACTTAAAGCAGTACTAAAAAAGGCATTTTGACACCAGAAATGACATAATAGAAAAATCGCCGTTAGCATTGAAGAGCATTACAAAAGAGGCTTATAAAAACTGTTTCGACAATTGGGAGAAACGATGGCGCTGGTGCGTTGAAAAGTTTTAATAAAAAAATTTAAAAAAATCTCACCTTTTTTTTTTATGGACCCAGTCCGGGAACTTATGGGACATACCTTGTATATTGATGAGTACATTTTGTGTAGAAATAGGATTAGTTGACTTTATAAGATAAACTTATTCATACAGTTTGTATCCCTCGATAGCTCAGTTGGCAGAGCGGAGGACTGTAGATGTTACAACGGTGATCCTTAGGTCGCTGGTTCAAATCCGGCTCGAGGGAGTTTTTTTTATTTTTATTTTTATTGGCTGCCGGCGAGCACGTGAACTCCCTGTGCGCGCGCATCCGTGACAGAGGCCGATGAGGAAAGACGGTCGTGACTATATATTATTAAAATATATGTGCTTTTCCTGTCAATGTATAGATTTATAGTCTATGTACACACGTATGTATACAAGTTATTTGCAAATTGCGTGGCAAATTTGCCCTTTCGCTCGCAAGCAGCGTCTCTAGCGGTGAAGATGGGAGGTAATATCAGCTGACCTAATGGACATGTAAAACTTGTTTTAACAGGACATAGAGAAAAATCTGGAAAATATATTTTTCGGATTTTTAGTCAAGAAAAATAAATTGACAGGTCATGTACAATTCTTTCACGTTAAGTCACGTGTCAAGTTACGGTAAGTAAAAATTTAAAAATTAAAAAAAAAAGATGCCTAAACCCGGGATCGAACCGGGACCTTTTGATATTCAGTCTAACACTCTCCTAACTGAGCTATTTCGGCTTATTTTATTTTTTTCTATAGAATCTTCCATCTTTATAATTATGTATATTTTAAAAAGGTCAATTCACACCTCTTCGCTGGAGACCATGGGAATACTGACTAATTCATTATGCTAACATAATTATAAATACAAGTATCAGAGTCATCAACAATTCTGTCATCGTTTGCTTTTGTGAATGGAATAAATACCCAAATAGGGCCATTTCTTATAAGCCTCGGTGGTTGGGTGTTAGTAATCTCGCCTGCCACGCGGGCGGCCTGGGTTCGATTCCCGGCGGATGCATTTTTTTTTCTTTTTTACAATTTTTAAAACTTATTTATATTATTATCCCTATATATATAAAAGTCAGCGTATGTTTGTATGTATGTTTGTCAACTAAACACGTCCACAATACGCAACTAATCTGACTGATATTTTAACAGTATATAAAGTAGAATCTGGAAAAACTTTTAGTGAAAATTAGGTCTCTATCCCGAATATCCGTCGTGTTATTTGCAAATTTGCTCTTTCTCTCGCGCCTCTAGCGGTGAAAATGGGGGGTAATACCAGCTGACCTAATGTACATGTAAAGTTTGGAGCGGGACGTTTCACAAGAGTGACATCCACGGCTCCAATTCATAATTGTAACGAATAGTATTTGAATAAAAACATTTAATCGGGTAAAACCCGGGCGTTGCCCGGGTCATTCGGCTAGTATATATATAAATAACAATTTTTCCTCTAAGAACGTATGTTCTTACTCCTGTAGAAGGGCAGAAATGCTCGAAAACTCGGCTAAATATAAAATCCTACAAGAAACTTTTGCCTCGATTTTGTTCTTTTGGTAATATTCTAATTTTATTTATATGAATTTATATTCAATAGTGTATGAAAATCCTTAAGTATATTCAAACATATGTAGGATGGTTGTTGATGTGCTGTGTTGGTGTGGCTTGTGGAAAGGCTGCTGATAAAATTATAATTAAAATTAATTTATTTAAAGCAAAAAATTATAGAGAGAAAAGAAACAACGGTTGGAGTAACGACCGCTGGAGTTAGCCTACATGTTTACCGCTAAATCCCAGCGTCTCTGATGACGTCCCACGCGCATGCGTAGTGAAGTGTTGACGCCCGCGCATGCGTTGAAGCAAAGTGTAGTCGCCACACATATATACAAATATATTTGTCTAAAACATATAAAATTGAAATTAGGAAAACAATAGGAAACATTCTTTAGATATGTTGGTCGACTTCGAGAAAACACAATTTAAAACAAAGTGTCGAAAGTAATAAGAGAGGAAATGTGAGTGAGGGAAATTTCCTTATTTATTGATTAAAACGAATTAATTAAGTGGAAATTCTAACGGTGGGAAATTTGTTGGTAATTCTTCCTACCCTCCTTTCATAACATCTCCTTCCTTCCACTCGAGTGACACCGGGCAACACGGTTCAAAATTAAACTCCCCACAGTGTGTGCTAATTTGGTAGCTTTCGAACTTCTCTTCTATCTCACAAATATATAGGTCCTAGATTAAAAAAAAAGAATTTCAAAACAATCACACCCATGTATTAAAATAGTATCTATCTTAGATAGTTCTCCTCTTACTGTGATGTGTGAAAACATATATGTATATGGAATTTTTTCCGGAAAGAAATTGATATATATAATCAATGGTCGCCTCTCTCGTCAAAATTAATATTAAAACTAGACGCAATCTATTGATCGTCGTCGCACTAACGGCCATTATCCCGAAGCCATAGTCTCCAGGTAGACGCTTCTTAGTTTGCCAAAGCTGGTGTTGTGGCTTTGTCACCGACCCGAGACTGCTAGTTTGCGGAGGCACAACACACATCAGAGCGAGCGGCCAGCCGTTTTCCTTCTTTGGCGGGTATAAAAGTGATGGCAAGTGTGCCAAAAATGGTGTTGGCTGAAAGTCCTTTAAAAGGTGCATGTGTTGCCTGAAACGCCCAGCTTCGAGCTCAAAGCTAGTGGAGAAATATCTGAGAAAATTGATTTTCAGAATAATTTTTTTTTAAATGCAGAAAACTAAAAATGAAGAAAATTCGCCTGCTGGCGAAGTTTTTACAAAATTTGCCGCGTCGGACGACATCACGACAAAGACGCGTTCAATCGGCGCAGTAAAAGCCCAAAATATATGGGCGGACATATTGGGGGATGAGGATGCGGGAAACGAGGTCGGCTACACCGTGGTGCACTACCACACCTGGTGGAACCACTGGCGCTACTCAGCGAAGGCGAACATCTGGAAAGTGGACACCGCGGGTGCAGGAGGTCAAGGCCACGAGAGCACATATCGCGGAAGCCGGAGCGCGGCAGGCGTCCTCCACCCAGAAACAGTGCGTTTATATAGAGCACTGCCCTGACTTCACGCCTTACCAATACCTTCAGGCGGTAGACAAACTGGTCGGCGGGGGAGTCACATCATTCTGCTCACTAGGATGAATGGCCACGTCTTGGTGGGCCTGACCACCAAAGACCCTTGCAGAATGCCTCATTGACGGGGAACTTGAAATCGAGGGCACGATCCTCAGGACCAACCCCTTCCGCAAAATATCAGAGAAACTAATCATCGAGAATCTCTTTACTACGTGGAAGATGCGGTCATTATCGATGCCCTGCGGCCTTATGGGCGTGTCACGTCCATCGCCCCCAAGTAACTCAAAGCTGGGGAATATGGCTACACAGACGGCCGCCGCGAGACCTACATCCTTTTCCGCGACGGCAAAAAATGGAGAGGCTGCTAACCCGCCTGGACATTAAACACTAAAGGCGACACCTTATCGGCATTCCTGACCTTCGGAATAAGGTGTTCGAAATGCAATAATCAGGGACATCGTAAGGCCAACGGTCCCAAGCAAGTATCATCGCTCTCCACCACTAATGTAACGTCACCGACCGTTCCTCAGCCTGCTGAACCAGCGCCGCCCACTCAACCTGAGGAGGAGTCAGCTCCAGACGTAGTAGCCCCTCCACTTCCACTATCTGCCCCGAGGACCCATGAGCTCCAAACCGCTCCTGATCTCTTTGAATCTTCTATAACGATAGATATGGAACTCGAGGGGGAGGGGAGAAGTCCGACCACACATCTCTGCGGTACCCCCTGGACCCTTGGAATAATCGACCAAATTCTAATTCGTTTCCAAGGTGACTAACGTGGCAACGGCACCCATTTTTCAACAAAGAGCAAAACCGATATCTCCAGCAATGCTATCGCGCCCGGAGTAACCGCCGCGTCAGGAGCTGCAGCCCGGGCTCCTTACGAGAAATCTACTACGAGGACACAATTCAATCTATTACAGCTCAATATAAATGACACCCAGAGGAAAACTGAAGAGATGACTTGTCTTATCCGTGACAACAATGTGCATATTGCTTGTCTTCAGGAAACAAAATTTAATCAGAATCTGAGATTCAATATCAAAGGTTATACAACACTACGAAAGGACAGACCGGGAAAATTTAGAGGAGGACTTGCCGTTTTGATTAAAACTCCAGAAATCAAATTTAAGGAAATTGCCTATAAAGGAATGACAATACATCCAGATGGCACAATAACCTATAGGACATGCGAAAACTGTCCTGGTGTGGAACTAACACCTACCCACATATTCTCATGCCCAGCAATAACCGCAGCATTGCAGAAATTTGACATGGACCCAGAGCAGCAGCTTTACACACCCAAGATAGTGGACATTGCTGCTGCTGTTATAGAGATGCATGGGGACATCTGAGGCTCTTTATTGGACACGATAACAACAATAACATGGAAATCGAGGATCGGTTAATCAAGATATTCGACCAACTGAACGATGTATCTTTCTTGAGCACCTTATATGTGGAAATTTACAGGGACCAATTGTGTACGCGACCCTATACCGCCATGATAGAAGGTACTTCTAGGGAAACTCGCGCCTGAACACAAGATAATTCTCTGCGAATTCCTTAACATTGCCCTTGAGCATGGTCGGAACAAGAAATCCGTTATTGATAATGGCTTGTCCACATTTAAAGCTGCTTGTAGCTCCTTAAGGATCCGGAGGTCCTTTCGCAGAGGTTTCTTCTGGTGTGAATACTTTCTTTCTTTTTATTATATTTCTACCTAATCTCTCATTTTACTGTTGACCAGGTGTCAATAAAATTATTTTAATGGTCAATTGTCACACATATCCAAAGGTCTTGCACAAATTAAAAATTAATAACTCCGCGAATATTTGCGCTAGAGCAATGCGGTAAACACCATTGTGCTCAGGATGCAATGGGATATTTTAGGGTAAATAGTGAAAATTTCAAAATTGATTTTAGCTACGATTTTATTCGCTAGGTAGCGCTCTACCAGAATCATAAAAATACCATAAAAACACCATTTTGACAAAATTAGAAGAATTGGATGACGATTTTAAATGCAATCCGAGATATGATAAATGTGTAAATGCGAATACGTATGCGAGATATGTAAAACATGTAGCAAGAAAATATTGATATTTTAGATGCGGTTTGCTGGAATCCTCTCAGCGATTTAAATTTCGAAAATAATAAATTTATATTTTTTTAAAATTAACTCTCTCTCAGTATCGAATATATTTATTTTAATTCATTTGAAAAATATTTATCTATCTCTGATAATTTATTTTACTCTGGAATGCCGTCAACTACAGGATAAAGCACTTGGTGAATTTTTTTATTGCAATTAAGAATCTTCCACTGAGGCTTTACGAGCGTTTCGTACCTTTAAAGGTATTTGAAGCGTTAAAGGGCCCATGAATTACTACTGTCTAAGGCGATTGATAAAAAAAATGAGAAAACTGAATCTTCGGAAGAAAAACCTCAGATGGAAGACCATCGGCATGTAAGTCAGTGGCAGTTATGGTTTCGCAAAATGTTGAAGCTATTGAAACGTTATCCACGTATGGAGAAGTATTATTATTATTTTTTTTTATTATTATTTTTTTTATTATTATTATTTTTTTTTTAATCCTCGTCGCCAAATATGTTGTGTTGTTTATCTTTTATAAACTACAACTTATATATTTATTATTTAATTATAATTATTTATTTATCACACACATTTAAATTTAGTAAAGATTAATTATATATTTACAAAACGTATGGAGAAGTAAGAGTTCGGCAAGTTTCTCGACAAATGGAGATTTCGTATGGAAAAGTTTGGAGAGCACTGAGCATTTCTCTTACAAATACCCTTACAAAATTAAAAGATTTCACGAGCTAAAAGTCGGCGATTTTTAGAAGCATCAAGAATTCGCTGCATGGGTTTTCCGGCAAA